ACAAGCAGCCCCTGCGGCGGCGGCGGCGGCGGCGGCTGGCGCCCCCCGTACAGTGATACCCTACCCACACACCGCCCGCGGGAGGTGGCGCGGATCCCGTCACAGCGAAGCTACATCAGCTCGTAACGCCTGAAGACATGTAGTACAACATGAATCCGTGCTACATGGCAGCAGTTGCGACCCCCAGCCACCCGTCTGAGCCTCTCAGACTACACCGCCTGGTGGGTCGGGCTTGAGGTGACCCGCGGGGCGGGCAGCCGGGAGGGGGGGGGCGGCCCCACAACGGACTCGTACGACTGCCAGCCAAAGTCGAACTCGTCCACACAGCCATCACGTCGAATGGCGTCGAAGATCGGCTCGGTCGACCAACGGAACACGGGCTGGTCGTCGGCGGTTGGGCCGTTGATGACGTATGTACGACGTGCACGGAAGGAATCCAGATCTACGATCTGCAACCGAAGTACCGTTAATGGTAGTTGGTCGATTGGTGGCGTTACTGGCCTGCATTCAACCGTGTCGTCCACATGCACCGCCCTTACCCCCCCCCCTCCCCCTACTCACCTTTCATCGGGCCGCGTCTGAGGGGCCGTTGAGCAATCGTCAGCCCCTCACGCACACACCCTAACCTCTAGCCCCCTACGTCTCTTGAGCTCCCCAACCCACACTCCTCCCGACCCACCCACCCACCCACCCATCTACACACGCACCTTGGCATCCACGGCGCCGTACGCCCTGCGTGTCCAGTTGTGAGGTTGACCGGAGCCATCAATCGCTGCCGGCAGGTCGTACCTGAAGTCGGGGAGAGGGGGGCCGGGGGAGGCATCTGTTGGAGGCTCCCGGGGTGGTGGCGGTGGCAGCAGCGGAAGCTGTGTAGTTGGGGCTGCTCCAGGGTGGCTCCATGTCCCCTTCCGGTTTGCCAAAACACAGTTCCATCTTCCCGCCTACCCGCCCACCGACATCCCCGTCCTTTTTTCCCCTTTCCTTTCACCTGTTCCCGTCTACACACACTCTCTCTCGCACACAGGGGGGAAAGCGCCAGGCGGTCCAAAGCCCAGTGACCCTTTCCACAACTCCTGTCCCTCACCCGCCACGTCTCCCTCCCCTGCCCCCCACCCACTACCACCCACTACCACCCACCGAGCTGCTATGGCGTTGTTCGGCAGCCCCAGCGACAGCGGGTCGGTCTGGTAGCGGTTGAGGCGCATGAGAGTTTGTATGTCTGTCAGGGAAGAGAGTTGGGACTGCTCGCGACTACCAGGTGGCGGGAGGGGGACGGGGGGGGATCGGCGGGAGGGGGAGGGGAGTCCCCGCCGGGGGGATTTCTTTGGTCGAATCAAATAACGAATGTGGAATAACGGATGCCGAAGGTTGGTGGCATGCCCGTTTGGGGAGGAGGGTTATCGTACAGATTATGTACTCAGCCCTGGGAGGGAGTGGGAGGGTGTTCCGGGCCGCCAGCTCGCCAACCAACAGCAGAATAACCCCTACCTGAATATCATGGCCCGAGGGCAGGTGGTGTATATGCTGGGCTGGGGGTAGCCAGTAAGGTTGTAGATCTCCGGGAAGTACGGCACATTGTACGACGCCCAGTAGCCTTGCTCCATGAGTACCTGTTTGCAGGAGGGAAAGGAGGGGGTCGGCGGCAGGGTGGGCACGAGAGAGTGTCTGTATGCGTGTATGTCTGCATGTATGTAAGGTATGTGTTGCACATCCGTGACGGTCTCTAAAGGCCCCCCACCCCCACCCCCCCACGAAGATTGATTTGATCCCGGGCCCCCCTCCACTCCTGCTTCAACTGATAAAGGCTGGCACCAGGCCAGGTGCGAGGACCGGGCAAACCTAAGGCCCAGAAGGCAGTCCCAGGCGAAGCTGTGGAGGAGCGATGGTGGGTACAAAGAGCTGCGCCCTCGGGGGCCCATTACCCCCTAGCCCCCCTACCTGCCCACCTGCCTGACGCTGCCTACAAGTCCAATACAACCACACAAGCACACGCAGACTGCTTACTTTCGTGAAGCCGCAAAGCAAACGCGCTATCCTCGCAACTAACCTCCTACTCGCGGCGCAGCTCACTCAAAAACACACACGCACCAGGCTCACCCAGGCCACTTCCCCCCTCTCCCCCCCTTACCCACCCACTGACCTCTGTCACGTCCTTGCTCACTGTACGACCCGGCACCTGCTCCAGAACCCACAGTACGTCAGATCTGGGTCGGGGCTGCTGCAGCTGCTGTACATCTAGAACCATCCACTGCTGGCCGGTTGCGGGCGAGGGATAGCAACCACGCACGTATACGTACATACATACGTACATACATACAGAGAAACAGGAGGCAGGGAGAGGGGGCCCCGGGGAAGTCAAGGAAGGGGTAATCACCGGTGAGTGAGCGAGGAGGTCGACTTCCGCCGTCCAAGTAACCGGTGGGGTCGGGTACGGAGCCGGGTCAGGTACGAACAGGTACCTACCCACCATCACCAAAGACCCGCCCCTCGCAAGCGGGAGGAGGGGGTGAAGGGTGAAGGGTGACAAGGGGCTGGGGGCGCCGGTCGGAGCTCTGGGGCTCCCCCCCAGAGGCGGGAGGGAGACCGGTTGCGGGCGGGGAGGAGGTGGTGGTGGTGAGGATTGCGGTGGCCAGAGAAATACATCCACCATTCCGTGCGTATTAAGGCGTGGCCTTGGTACGTGCTTGGGCCGGAGTTCGTGTTGTACTCAGCGCGTCAGAGCGACATGTCCATGACCTTCCCGTAGCCCGCCACTAGTACGACATAGTACGGCTTGCTTGCCTGGTTGTTGTACGTGCCGCTGTTGTGGCGTGCGAAAAGGT